TATATCCTCATCTAATATCCTCTAAGGTAGAGCCTGATGGGTAGAAAGAGTGAATGGATGCAACACCTGAAAACCATTAGCAATCTAATGGTAAAACAGAGAAAGGGGAAAGCAACAATAACTGAGGGCATACAATAAATAAGAAATGAAAGAAGGCAAATTCTCAGAAACCCAAGAAGAGAAAATCAGAGTGATTCCACCGATACGAGCAGCTGCTGGTGTCTAAAGTCTCCAGGGTAAGGAGGAGACAGAAAGCTATAGTGAGCGAGAAAAGGACCCAGACAAAAGAGTAAATCACAATAAATATTTATAATGATAAGTAATGCTGCAGACCATAAATATTAAACAGCCACTGCCTCTGTGTGTGTGTATGTATGTGTAGTCCTATGTTAAGCATAAGTGTCCACGGGGACGCAGGAGTACCGCATTGACTAACATTGTACATAAGCTCTGATCAGATGAGCAATGAATATTAACCCAAACAAAGCATTTCAATTACATTAACAGATTGCTTGTTTGGCAATTTTAAAAAACAACTGGGAACCAACATGCATAATTTCAATCAGCATAGGTATAAAGTATTATATAAACATCATCCACACAACACCCTTTTACATACAAAACACATTTACCATACTATTGATATACAGCACAACTGCAGAAACACTTTCAATCCTCAGGAAACAGCAATGAACCAAGCTCTTGAATATAAATACTTCATTGTGAGAGAAATGATCTCATAGTTATTGTAATAGCAGGGCATAAAACCTAATTTGATGATCCTCTCTGCCATTGTTGGTACTAAAAACATGGAGGTCCAGATTGCTTTACAAGGGTACTTTACTCATTGGTTTGCACTTTAGTTACTTGATCCATTTCAATCACTGAAAACTTTCTCAAATTAAGTTGTCATGTGACGATTCAGACTGCAAATTCAGCTCTTCACACCATTGATGCTTTTTTCCTTAGTTTTGTGTGGAAAAATCTTGTTTTCAGACCTTTGACATTATGATGCCATGATGATATTGTCTCATCACTGTCAACAGTAATGCAGTCACTAATGACAAGAGCTGTTCTGAATGGCCAAACACTTTGCTTAAAAATCATGATACAATATTTTGGTGTTCACATATTTGCAACAGTTCCAAAGGTTACCTCCAACATTATTTAAAGGAATAGTTCAACATTTGGGAAACACACTTAATTGCTTCCTTTTTGAGAGTTAAATTAGAAGATTGAAACCACTCTATATTAGGGTGACCAGACTCCTCAGTTTTCCAGAGACAGTCCCCGGTTTTGGTGGCCTGTCCCCATTTTTAACTGTATAGTCTGTATCAGGTCTTACCAGACCTGAAATCAGATTTTACGTGGCCAGAAAGACTGGACAGCAGAGCATGCAGGTGTCGTGCCAAAAAGTGATCGTCTGCCGAAAACTGATTGCCGTCCGCGGGAGCCCTCAGCAGAATCATTAAGTTGTATCGCCCAGTCATTGTTTGCAGTTTATAGTGTAACCAGGCATGACATTTACGCTATTATAGCCAATAATAGAAGCCTGTTGTTGCTAATGGAATATGTGTTTGGTAAGCCTATGTGTAATATCCTTGTTTATATTTTGAAAAACGGAATGAAGCCTATAATTAACATAACTTAGGCTACTGCTGCTATATATAAAATAATAGACATGAGCTCTTTTGCAATTATCCTTACGACTCTACATTATTTAACTTGCTGTGTACCAACCAATCCAGTCCTTTTTACCTGTTAAAAGTGACTGCAGCTCCTACTTACTGACCGAAAGGTAGATTCTGCCTCAAAATGACTTGATTTCATTCAGAAGAGTTATTAGACAGATTTTGAAACCCAAATCATCTTTTTTATTTCATATATAATACCATTATATTTTGAATGACATACTGACGACCAAACCAAAAATGCCCCCGGTTTTCATTTCAGAAATCTGGTCACCTTAACTCTATATACTCAATACAAAGCTGGAGCCAGCAGGCAGTTAGCTTTACTAAGCACAAGGAGTGGACACAGAGGGAAACAGCTCTGTCCAAAGGTAAAAAGAAATCCTCCTTCTGGCCAGCATCTCTAAAGCTCCCTCATTTACGCAAAGCCAAAATGTAAAAATCGCAGTTTCCCCCTGATTCCAGGTCTTTATGCTAAGATAAGCTAATTAGCTCCTGGCTATAGCTTAATGCACAGACACAAGAGTGATCAGAGTGGTGTCAATCTTCCAATCAAACTTTCAGTAAGAAAGCAGACGAGACAAGAAGCACACTTGTCAATATGTCTAAAACACTAAAACTATTCCTTTAATGAATAATGAATTTGTGTGTGTTGAAGAATGAAAAACTTGTCCTCCCTTTTGATACTAAAACATAATTTGGCCACCATCTGTTGCACCTCACAGCCATCTGACAGAGAGCACCGAGAGGCTAGTCTCAGTCTAGCAATCTGGTTATATTAAAATGCCTTGAGTTTTTCACTGCACTTAGACAGTTTGAACTGCTGAAGGAGATTAAGTGAGACAGGTACGCAGAAAATCAGGAAAATGAAAAGGTGCCCAGTATGTGAGCACATCAAATGACACTAAAAAACACAGTTCAGAATAAAATGAAAAAGTAGAAGTACAATGTAATGCAGGCTCTGTAATAACAGAACCAGTTGTTAGGACACTGATGCATTAATTTTGTCACAATTAACACTTCAACTGAACATGCCTTTCTGCAGTTGGCAAGCGACATAATTTGTCCTTAACAGTGGGGTGATGGACAGGTTAAGTTATAATTTTACCTGGTGCTGACTCATAGGAGTGGGTTGAAAAGCATTCTTGCATAAGAATGAATGTAGCCAAGGCTAGATCTACATTTCTGTACTCTATACTTTAAAAAATATAGCCAGAACAGGTCATTCATTAGAAGAAATATGACCTATGCATTTACCAAAAGGACATCATCCTTTTTGTTCCACTTCTACTCCCACTTCTGCCTGAACAATATGAGGCAGAAAACCAGCAGTTTGACAGATTTAACTTCTTTCTGTGCTTCACTTTAGACTTCATAACTTATTTTATACAATTCATGGATGCAATTGACCATTCCAAAATAAATACCTCATTATTCACACAAACACGAGTGAGCCGGCTGTGTCGTGTTTGATCAGACTGCAGCATATAAATAAACATGATCAGCCATTTTCATTGGATTACAACCGTTGTAACATACTGTCTAAATTACTAATGAACTAAATTATGACAGACCCACATAGGTAAACAAGTCTGTGCAAATACATGAGCACACACACCCATACATAGTAAATTAGAAATGGTAAGTCCTACAATGACCAATGACATTGTCTGGTTTAAGCTATGTGTTGACTTTGTGGGAGTTTAGGGATATATATATATATATATATGCACATATATGTTTATGGGGATGTGTGTGTGTCTGTGTCTATATCTGTGCCTCAGAGCAAAGCTAGTTGAGCTAGTTGGAAACATCTGGTTTATTTTGGTTTTTTGTCTCCAGTGGCAGAGAGGGCTTAAGTGCCACAGGTGTGTGTGTGTGAGAGAGCAGGTCAGAATATCAAAACCCTCATCTAACAGTGTATATATAGTGTGCTGCCATCCATGCCTGTGCAGTCCTCACCGAGCGCCGTCACATCTCATTCTATTTACAGCCCATTCACTCTACAGCCAGCAATCAGGATTCCACGCCGGGCCGCAAACTCCAGCACGAGGCCAACATCAGCCAGACTTATCAGGTATTAGACTGCCCTGCAATCTCCATTTCATGAGCACCCAGTCTATAAACACTATTGATTTTCACACCATGCTTTTTGCACTTGAATCTAGTGGATTGAGGGTGTTCAGTCACAGGAATGACTGGTAATGAATAATAATGCAGAGTTTTGGGGAGATGGTGGGAGAATTTTTTCCGATCTAGTTGTAGTAGTAGTGGCTGATGGTCAGGATAGCAGCTGAGAGTGAGCTCTGCTGAATGCTGTGACTCTGAGAACATGAGGTGGAGCCGCCTCAAAGACACAAGAAACTAAATAAAGGCTAACAGACCTGGAAGGAATAAATATCACAATATAATTTCTGAAAATAATTCTTAAGCCCTGTTCTAATTGGATTAGTTCTAATGAAGGTGGTCCTGACATTATTATCGACATCTGTAACATTAATCCAAAAAGGAAAAGTAAGACAATTTGAGCTCGTCTGATAATAGTTACAGTATTTGAACGGATGCTTCTGTAATGCTGTAATTTTAAATTTTTTGCCACTAGCAAAAAAGTTTAGGGTAGAATATGAAAGTTTATGTTTCAGCTATAAGCAGCAATTTGAGGGTGATTACTTCAACCCTGCCAAAATGATTGTCTAGACAGCACAGCAAGCAATTAGAATTTACTGTAGGACTGAAATGACTGATACTGAAATGACAGTATCCAGTAAGTCATTTAGCTTGAATTGAGGACTTTTTGACTATGTTGTTGTGGTTGACTCAACCTTTATTACCTGAGTGAAAGTCACTATTGTGCTGGCAGTAAATATTTTAATTCTGCTTTTCTGCAAATTTGTATAATTACGTTGAAACAGAGTCACAGCTGAGTCACAGATTGATGCCTTAGTTGCCAACATGGTCATTCAGATTCATAAATACACAGGATCTCAGCATTAGCTAACAGTGGCCCAATACAGTAGGTGAGTGCATTTTTCATTTGTGTTTATTTCTGCTTTTGTCTGAGGCAGCCTACCTTCAGTCACCATAAATAACAACTCATGTGGTGAAGTCTGAAGTGAGTACTGGTTCAAATTGGGTAAAAAAACAAGCCAAGATTTAATTCCCAATAAAACAAGCCCCATAAAAGTTACTAGTACAAGTTTTATTGTAGCCTGTTTGGGTTCCAGTAAAACTTTTTTCTCAGGAATAAATCCAGAAATTCAATCTGAGTATTTGATCACATTCTTAGCTGTGGTTTCCTAAAATACTCACCAGGATACGCAACAGTGAGGTACCAGGGGGTGTGTTTTCAGGAAGGCTGATGTTGTACAGCGGTCTGCTAAAGATGGGCCGGTTATCATTCTCATTGATTAAGTCAATAAAGACACGAGCAAAACCCACGTGGTCGGACATAGACTCATTGGCATAAAGCTGGGGAGAGACAACAAAGCGAATATTTATACAAAAGATTTAATTATAGCCTTAGTTAGTACAAATCAGTTAAAGAAGAAACTGTACAGGTTTAACATTGGTTTATTTTTTTTTAACACATTTCACCCTTTCAGGTTACATCCTGAAATTTTTAATCATAACTTGCTATTATGCCAAATAAGTTACTGTATTTGGAGACCTTGGATTATACACATGGCACACTCTGATTCTTTAAACAACTCAGGGGTAAATTAAGGTGACAAAATACCAATTTCACTGTTCAAACAAGTCTGCAGTGTAAAAAGAGAAAATGATATGGCCTCAGTCTGACTGAGCATCATGTCCAAACAAATAAAAACAAGTTGCAAGAAACATAATGGATCTACATTTAGTCTTGTTGCTTAGAAATCATTCTTTGTCCGGAGTTCATTCAAGGACAGCATTACAGAATTTAAAACTGACTCACTGAGAAGCTGAAACTGCGAATCTGTTCATAGTCCAGCGGTATGGCCACCCTTATCCTGATGTCAGCACGCCCCTGGACCGCTGTGGGGGAGATGGTGAAGTACTCCGAATTGTTTCCTGTCAGAAACACTTGGAACATGCTGTTCACCCCCTGCCACAGGATGGATAAGAGAGAGGCGAGTATAGAAACAGAGAAAAGGGGCTTGTTTAGAGAGAATGAGGGCAGGTGGTGATACTGTACATCCTCTGCTTAACCTACAAGTGAGGAATGTAGATGATCATTTGTATGCTATGGTCTTTCTGTAGAGTTTTTATGAATAATTATTGGAAAAAATGATTCATTTTATGAGAAGGCACAGATACTGTGTACATATTGACTAATATCCCAGCAAAATAAAGCATTCACTTTTTAAATTTACATTTCAAGCATTTAGATGATTGTTGTACCCAAAATTATTTACATTGACTGTGGCACTAGAGACAGTACAATAATAATCACAACTTTCACCAGCAAACAATAGTAAGAGGTGAAAGGTCAGGATATTGTGTTCTGACCATATCTGGTAGTATAAACTGATCACTTAATCGTCAAGGTTGTAGATGGAGTTATTTATGTATTTACCAGGGACAATACACATTAATTCATTAAAAAAAACCCATTGTGGTTAGACTTTAATGTAAATGAACTGGAGTTAGCAAAAAATATATACACTGGACAAAATTATAAACGCACTTTTGTTTTTGCCCCCATTCATCATGAGCTGAACTCAAAGATCTAAGACTTTCTCTATGTTCACAAAAGGCCTATTTCTCTCAAATATTATTCACAAATCTGTTAAAATCTGTGTTAGTGAGCACTTCTCCTTTGCCAAGATAATCCATCCACCTCACAGGTGTGGCATATCAAGATGCTGATCAGACAGCATGAGTATTGCACAGGTGTGGCCACAAAAAAAGGCCACTCGAAAATGTGCAGTTTCACTGTATTGGGGGGGGGGTCCGGAAACCAGTCAGTATCTGGAGTGACCACCATTTGCCTCACACAGTGCAACACATCTCCTTCACATAGAGTTGATCAGGTTGTTGGTTGTGGTCCACTCCTTTTCAATGGCTGTGCGAAGTTGCAGTCAGGTCGAGACCCCGATGAGGACGACGAGCATGCAGATGAGCTTCCCGAGACGTTTCTGACAGTTTGTGCATAAATTCTTTGGTTATGCAAACCGATTAGTGCAGCAGCTGTCCGGGTGGCTGGTCTCAGATGATCTTGGAGGTGAAAATGCTGAATGTGGAGGTCCTGGGCTAGTGTGGTTACACGTAGTCTACACGTGCGCCGGTTGGACGTACTGTCAAATTCTCTGAAACGCCTTTGAAGACGGCTTATGGTAAAGAAATGAACATTCAGTTCACGGGCAATAGCTCTGGTGGACATTCCTGCAGTCAGCATGCCAATTGCACGCTCCCTCAAAACTTGCGACATCTGTGGCATTGTGCTGTGTGTGGCCAGCTTAAGTCACACCTGTGCAATACCCTGTCTGATCAGCCACACCTGTGAGGTGGATGGATTATCCCAGCAAAAGGAAAAGTGCTCACTAACACATATTTTGACAGATTTGTGAACAATATTTGAGAGAAATAGGCCTTTTTTGTACATACAGAAAGTCTTCAGCTCATGATGAATGGGGGCAAAAACAAAAATGTTGCCATTATAATTTTGTTCAGTGTATAATAATATATTATATTATAATATATTTTAACATGGTTTAACATGTATGTATTTAGGTTTCAAGTCTTTGCTATAAAATTGTGAATTGTTAAGGATATACTAAACATTAATACTTTTGTAATGCTAACAGTCCAGATAACTGTACTAGGTAAATACCTGAATGACTCAATTTTAGATTTTCCCGAACAGTATCTACACGAGTCATACATGTTTTTTTGTTTTGTTGAAACAAAATGCGGTTGATAATAAATGTTCTCCATACCGATGCTGAGTGAGAGGCTTCACAAGCAGCTTCAGCAGGGAAGCCACAAAAGCTCCATTCACTCCTTTTAAGTATGAGTTTTTATTTGTTATTTTTAACCTCTCCTGCCCAGCAGCCTGGTATAAAATATGAGGATCTGGATACCATATTGTACCAGACAAATTTTAGTTTAACAAGAAAGTATTAATATACTCCTTTGTCTGTTTTATTATTTATTTGTCACCAGGCCGGGCGGGGGGACAGACATGGGGATGGGGGACACAAACACCACACATACAGACAGAGAAAGGACAACACCTGCAAGAGAATGGGAATGGGGGGTGGGGTGGAGAAAAACAAACAACAAACAAACAAACAAAAAACTAAAACAAAGAGACAACCAGCTAAACAGCTGACATAGAAAGACAACTGAGAGAGAAATGAAAATGAGAAACAGTCAAGCAAAATAAATAAACAACACAGCACAGCCATGAGAGCTGGAATAATAACAATTAATTTAAATAAGTAACTGAAAGAAAAGCATCAGGAATAATTCTACCAGGGACAACCTAAATTTGTTTGTGTGTGTGTTATGTGAGACTGTGTGTATGTGTGGGTGAATTTGTGTATGTTATAGAATGTAGTTCTTAGTGAAAGCGGAACGCCACAACCGCACCGCACCGCACCGCACCGCACCACACCGACTCGACTTCAGCAACAGGCAGGCAAGAGCCCCAGTAGCCAATAAGGGTGGGAGAAAAAAAAAATTGACTCCCAGACGCACCCTGACCCGACCAACAAATGCCAAAACTACCGACCCTCCAAATGCCAATCGACCACACAATGCCGTCGGAACGCAAAAAGGCAGAACCCATGGAAGAGCGGCCCCAGGACCGGCCACGTACACAACAGAGACCAGTGTTCCCCCCTGCCTGGCTCCTCACTGCCACGGAACGAACAACCAAAAACGCCACGCAGTCATCAATATCAGCAGGCTGTTGTCACCACCTACCCACACACCCGTCATGGCCGAGAACACCAGGCACAAGCCCAGAACAAACCAGAGCACAGCTGTGCCCCACACGCACACTGGACATCCTGACAACTACCTTTATACTTCAGTCTCCAGAGGAGTCCAACAACTGGCTGACAGAGAAACGGGGGAGCACAGATCTGAGGCCAACAAAGCAAACCAGGGAATGTGTTTTTGGTTATTTTGGTTTATTCTTTATTCTGTTCTGTTCTGTTTTGGTTTTATGGTCTGTCTCGCCTTCCTGCTTCACTCTGCCCTGTTTCACTGTGGCTGTGTCCAAAATCACCCACTACTCACTATATAGAGGACTATATTGTGATTCACCATTTTGTAGTGCTGTCCGAATGTATAGTGATAATTATTATACCCTATATAGTCCAGTCAATGTATCACAGAATGCATTTTGAAAAGTAGTGTACAACCAATGGTCACTAACTAAGCCCTATATACCATAATGTATTGCACTGACCAACTGATTGACGGCAATGACGTAATTAACGGCACCGAAATAATGATTGGAGTAGTGTCCGAAAGTGTTGTTTTAATAAAATGAGTGAACTCACCAAATAGTCCTCAGTTCAGTTCTGTCTGTGTTGCGTCCTCTTTGTCTATGTTGAGTGTTCCTGCCTGTTCTCTTCCTAGTTCTTTGAATTACTCTGCCCGTGCTCTGGATTCTTTTGCCTTGTTGGATTACCTCAGTGTTGGACTTTGCCTAGTGCTTCCAAGTAAGCCTCTTATGTTTAGTTTTTGTGTTAAATATTTTTGAACTGCAGCTTCCTCGCCTGTTGTCTGCGTTTGGGTCCACATCTAAGTGTGCACTCTGCCACTTATGACACACTCACCAGCTGATTTTTAGTTCTATTATCATTATTATGGACATTATGAACTGCGTTTAACACTTTTTAAAGAGTCTGCTCTTTAGGATTTTTTACGCAGCAATAAGAAGTGGGGATTGCTAACCCTCAAACTGTTTCAAAGACCACATTTAACCTGGAGATCTTGAGCTACACAGGAATAGGTAAGCCAGTAAGCAAAACTATCAAAATGTGTGAGAAAGTTAGACTGCAAAAAAGATAAGAATAAAATCATAGTTCATAACCATCTGCTCATCTTCACTACAGAAAGCCCGCACTGTACTATTTTACATTATGTAAATTGACCATTTGAGTGCAACATGGAGTTAATCCCCGTGCATTGCCCACAGAGCTGTATATAGTGTGTCCGACTGGGATGATTACCCAGACAGTGAAGTAGGTTGAAACCATGTGCTTTAATCATCATGGTGTGTGTTTTATGAGAGAAACAGAGAAGATGTGATCTCTCATGACAACCGTGACTATCTACCTCAGTACAGATACACGTGTCTGGGTTTGGTTTCTAGCTCACTATACTGTATGTTGCCAAGACAATGTGAGATTATATGAGCATGGGGCCTGATTTAGAAATAATATGTGCTGTATTACTGGGTAGGTCCGTATGGTGATGTTAACATAATTTGATTAGTGGTTATATAAAAATTCTGAATAACCTCTAAAATGTGTACCATATCTATCTCTGATAAATCCTGAAGTGCAAAGGCATTGTGGGTAAATATCAACCCAGTCAGGGTCAAAATGACATCCCAGCCCTGAGAAGCCTGTGGCTGCCTTGATCTGAGAAACCATCTCTAGATCCCTCCTGCCTTGATATATAAAGCTGCAGGGTGACCAATCATGTAGCTATTGTGGCAGACAGAGGAAGACGGGTGTGGGGGTCGATTGGCATTATGCTGGCGGTTGAAATAGCCCCTTGTTTTTGTTTTCATCTCTGGGAGAAACATTGTGGCTGATGACTCCTATTTAAAAGACCATCCAATATGCAGGGATGTCACCTCAAACTGCCCATAAATGTAATTGCCCGTCCATTTGCTTCTGCCTTTAGAAGCCCCCAATAAAAGCATCCTGCCAGACGCGATTGCCACAAAGTTTAGTGACAAGTCCCAGCAGCAAAAGTTTTATAGATGCTAACCGAGCAGAAGAGGACATGAAGGCAGTGACAGACAGAGAGAGCGGTAACTACCACTTGTGTCATAGTCTAAGAAATGAAACGTCAGCCTATAATCCCTCACAGTTGGAAAAAGTGAGATTACAGCACAGGTGTAGCAGAGTGTGAATGAGTGTGTGTATCGACAGTGGCATGGAGGTTTAAACGATCAAAACAGCAGTACAAAACTGCCAGAAAAAAAAACATCTCATAGATTTTTACTCCTTGGGATGGATGTAGCTATGGCGGCAGGGTCACAATGCAAGACCGGTAGAGTGCTTGCAATTTGTTTGTCTCCAGCACACAACTTGAGAACACAACCGTATTTACCATTTTTGTGAAAAATCCTGCTGCTTTGAGATTTGGTTTGTTATATGACAACAAATTAGCAGTGAGCTGGAGATGCTAATGGAGCATCTGTGGTGAATCTGGTTCAAACCATCTCGGAATTAACATAGCTATTCCCCCATTTTCGGTAAGCAATCTTAGCTTAGCGATACTGAAATGCTAAGCGGCTGGGTACCTCTCCCAGATTGAGTGCCACTTTTGGTAGTGGTAAAATGTAGGGTAGTAACCTTTAGAGGGACCTCTTATCACATGCCAGGTGTCTGGGCCGTCAACCCACCTGCGTACAGCAATGCACTCACGGTACTCCCCTCTCTGCCTCGCCATTGCAACACACCATCCTTGAAATGAATAAACAGACTTGCTGCTAAATACTCCTGCTATCTCTCTTTCAAGCACTTTCTTTCTCTCCTGCCTGCTGTTCGCTCTGTTTCTTTCTGCTTCACCAATTATTCAGACTTCTGGTTTTGCTCCAATGCAGGCTACTTTCTGTTCAACTGTTTTTCTAAGAGTTCCTCCTCTCCTCTCCTCTCCTGTACGTCTGTCTCTCTTTACTCTCCACCTTTTTCTCTATCCACTTGACTTGCAGTTATCTGTCAAATTCCACCCTGGCGGCTGCTGTGCCTGAATCAATCAGAGCTGACTAGCTTTCGGCTTATCTGCACCCTAGGTGATTGATTTTCCTCGTTAGGTATAATTTGATGCTCTATCCCATCTCTTCCAGAGCAAATTAAATTGTAGTCGAGTCCAATGGCTGGTGTGAGCGAGCATGTGCAGATGTGAAAGCGGGAGAGAGAGACAGAGTAGCAGAGCAAAGTGGAAAAGTGTTCTGTGTGTGTGTGCTGGTGTCTGAGCGTGTGTCACCACGCTAGGTTGATAGATATACAGCTAATGGGAAGGGGCGGACACACTAAAGCACACTAATGCGTGCTGTTGTACACTGCTGCTGACAGACCACACACACACACACACACACACACACGTACACAGCTGCCATGCAAGTAGTTTCATTGAGTGGCTGATGTTCTTTCTGGCTGCTGCATGTATAAACAAGATAGATGTAAACCTAGAAATAAAAACACAAAATACACTTCACTCACATGTAGATGTCCTACCTTCCTTTGTAGTAAGATCTTATCCAATCAAATCAAGCGTGAAAAATGTCTTGCAAATGAAACTGCTTTTACTAATGAATCCTTTATTGATGCCTTGTGTCACAGCCACTTACCTCCTTACAAGTGCCAGGTTGGTCATTAATATTAATAATAACTTAGTTTGTACGAACAGTTTTCTTGGCCCTGTCCTGAGTCCGATACTTGTACGTATGTTAATTAAATATGGATTTGACAAATTGAAACATCTGTAGCCTACTTAATCAGACACATATTTTTCACAAGATACGTGACCATGAACAGATGATCCTGGTTCAAAACTATTACTTTTATAATTTTAAATTATTGATATAATAGAAATGAAAGATTAACAATGTGACTCCTGCAATTCACGTCAAGCGATCAGCTAGAGAGAAGACTACCACTTTTCTGGAGTACTGGAGAAGTACAAAAAAAAAGTGCATTATTTTATCCGATACCATTAAAATATGTTTGGGACAACATTAGTAACAATTGTAAGATACAGAGGCAGCATGGTGTCACTGCAACCTCATCTGTATCAGAGTATCAGCCTAATGTCAAGAATGTTGTGACTGTGCCAGCCATCAGGGTCTTCCACTCACCTCGTCCTTGTCTTCGACCTGGATAAAGAGGGGAAGGGCAAAGCCCACCTGGGCCAGTTCGGTGATGCGGACCCGATACTCAGAACTGTTGAACATTGGGGCGTTGTCATTCTTGTCAATTAGCAGGATAGTAAAGGCGGTCCTGACTGTTGCTTCTGATGGACTGCGATCATCTTTCAACTCTGTGGCCTTATAGAGAGCAACAGAGGGAAGTGTCAATCAGAGAGAGAGAGAGAAAGAGAGAGACAGAGAGAGAGAGAGAGAGAGAGAGCGAGAGAGAGAGAGAGAGAGAGAGATGCATTTGATTGCACTGAAAATGTCATTTTGGATGATGGCAGTCAGCACGCAATCTCAGCCAGGTATTTACAGCTGTTCACTTATTGGATCAAAAAGGTGGACGATGGAACTCAAAGCAATCATAGAAATAGGCTCAAAGTGAGGCCAAGAGAGGGCCAGCACATGTACATTCACACAAACACATCCACACAATGAGATTTTGGAGAAAGGAGTCCCATTGAGACGATAGAATTACACACTCTTTCTGTTTCTAGCTGCCTGAGTATTGAAGATGTGAGGCCACTGAAATAAATAAAAAAATAGGAGAGAAAGATGGGAATAGGCAGTCTGTGGTCTTTTATTGATGGAGGAGTGTCACAAGCAATAAGAGAAGAGGCAGGAACAACATGCTGGTCTCTTGGTAATCAAAGTAGTTTAGCCCCTCTCGTCCCAACGCCACTGAATCATTTGACCTCCACCTCCACACGCTCAGCACTATCTAAGCTTTCTGAAGTTGAGAAATTAGTTGTATTACTATGGCACACCGCAATCAATAGAAGCACCACCTAAGAAAGCACAAGCAGAGAAAGGGAGAGAAAATATAGAGGGAAAAAATCCATATCTTATAAATATATTTTTGGGCAACATTTTTTCATTTTCAGCACTTTCACATTCAACTTTTATCCAATGTAATTATTGATTTCAATTAAAGAGATAGACTGAGGCTGGAATATGTAAGCCTGTATCTTTTTTTGTGTTAAACCTTCGAGCCAGTTGTATCTCAATGGTCTCTCATACAAATACATTGCTAGTGAGGCCATTAGGTGCTCTTAAAGGCCATTTATTGTGCTGAACAGGTTCGAACGATTTGACTTCACATGGCATCAAAATCCAAAATGTAACATTGCAGTTACATGGAAAAAAACAGGTCTTTAATGGCAAATCCTTTAATTTGGCACTAGGAAATCCATTTCGCGCAACCTCGCACACCCTGTGGGAACCACTTGGTGTACAATAGTGGAAGAGAAGAAGTGGTGGAGTGGACAAGGTGGGACGGCCGTGGGTGGAGTGAGAGGGCAGGACTGACGTTCTAAAAAGCCAAGTGAGATAGATTTTAGGCTCAGTGGAGAGACAGAGGGATTCAGAGGCAGCACCTGCTTCAAATAGACGAAAAAAGAAAGAGGGAGGAACAAAGGAGCCCCTTAGCATTGAGGACTCTAAATCCTGTTCCTTTATCTTGTCCTCCTCCGCTCCTCCTGTCCTCCCTGGGTACTGGCAGTTCACTTAACAAGAGCCTCTGAAGGGGACATTATTATAGAATCACAAACAAATGGCTTCATTGACAATAAAGGTACTTTTGTGAAGGGGCATATTGATACTGCATCTATAAACACATATGGTACTGCAGGATCTTGTGTTTAGTTTTAGTTAGTCAGTTTTAAGCGAAGTATTGACCTTGAAATCTTTATTTTTATAATTTTATTATAGTGTGTGTTTTTATTTAATGTATAGAACAGCAGCCAGGGTGAAGTACTGCCTTTAACAGTTCTTTTGAAGCTATATCAGACCCAGACACTGCATTGATTTAATACACTATCATACAAAAGCTCTCCCTTGATCCATGTCGAAACAGACTTTTGATCCCTTCTCTAGGCTGCGACAGTCCCTCCACCCTACAACCACCTCCCATTCAGCAGCTCACCTTGACGGTGAGAGTGAATCCTGCTGAGTAGAGTGGGTTTTCTCTGTCCAGCTGGCCATTCACTGTCAGGGACCCACTGATGTAGTCCAGGGCAAAAACGCTGTTGGTGTTCCCTGGATGGATGGATGGAGGGAGAGAGACAGAGATAAGAAAGTCAGAGGGACAAACGAAACTGACGTTGTGGATAATTCAACATAACCCCTGAGATGCAGTGCGGGGCCTCTGGAAGGGAAGGCAGAGGATGAGCTATGAGCACGTCTCTATTTCATGCAATATGGATATGGCTTTTGCTGTGCTGTCTTGTCTCCTGTACCTGCCTTAGGCTGACCCACCACCTCCAACATGTTCACATGCTGCCTTTCCTGCATCCTTTTGCTTCATCTGTCACTGTTTGCCCTCCTTCCATTGCTTCTATTTTTTCATCAGCTTTCCCTTCCTCTTCACTTCTTTACTGGATGTATACCAGAGTTAGTGTCACTTCACATTCACTGAATTGAAGTTGCAACGTATATCAATTACAGTTTAACATGTCATGATGACGCTGTCAGTAGTTCTGATGAGAGCATGACAAAAATCCCAAGATCTACATGCACATCAGCTCGTAACGTAAAGGTACCTGTGGGTGACCACTAGTCGTGCTATGGGGCAATGTTTTTACGAATGAATCCTGTGTGTGTACACAGATACGCATTTCTGCAGATGGTTTCACACTATTCTGCTGATTTACAGTTGTAAAGCACAAATAAGTGTACCAATGTGGCACTAAAGACGGTGAAGAAGAAAACTGCTAGCAATCAAATATGGATGTAAACCATGATAGATGTCAATCTTTTAAAAATTGGTTTTAAAAATACGGAAACCTCCTTTGACAAGATGTTTAATCATATCATTAGATATTAATCAAATCTTGTAATTCTTTATAATGTTTTGCAAATTTAATTCCTTGTTTTCAGGATTTTCTTTCAATTGTAAAATACAATATCTGATTTAAGTAACCTTATTGACCTCATTTAATGACAAGCGTCAGTCACATTATGAAACATTTGCACAACAATATGCTGAGTTGTCCATATGTGCTTTGCAACATCTGTGCAATCACTGTAAAGCCCACAACATTGGCTTGGTAAAGCTAGAGGATAGGTGCCTAGATGTATAATTAGCATGTGAGCATGTGCACAGATATCCATTTGAAATGGGATCAACTGGATGAGATGACTTGATTCTAATTTATTATTACTTTCAATATTGAACATAAAGTATGCTTATTTAATTGAATAAGCTATGCTTCTGCTGAGAAAACAATCCAACCTCAAATTCTCAAGACCTGAACTACATCTCTTTACGTGGGCTAATGAATTGCATTAACTTTGTTATAGTCAATGCACTCCTTCAAAGAGGGGCATTTCAAATTATGAACACTGCACTGTTCTCATTAACAAGTTCAATAGGGCCTGGTGTTCTCTATTCACTTCAATTAGTAAAACCCACTTGAGTCCTATTCTCATATTTTCTTATTCCCTCTCTTCCTTTTAAAATTACCGTCCTTCTTGTTAACTTTCTCACCTCTCTTGCACTCTTCTTTGACACTCTCACTCTAGCTCTGGCATCTTGTAGTTGTGGGGTGTTGCGTGCTAATTACACCCAGCAGATGGAGACAACAAACGAAAATACCCAGAATCTTCTTCACCTCTCCGTTGTTAATGGCCTACTTGCCGCTGCCCCCCCCCCCCACCTGAATTTCAGTAGCATTCAGTGCCCCGATGCCATCTATAGATAGTGGCAGTTGATACATGTGAATGATATCAGAGCAATCTGCTCAGCGGAAAGAACACCGGAAGAAACAGAGCTGTATGAGAGAACTCATTCAAATCCACCTGGAGCAAATTCACTTATACGTTGTTGATACAGACCACTCTCACCAGCAGACAGCAACTCCTCTGTGCTGCCACATGTATGTTTGTTTAACAGAATAATCTTTGGTTGAAAAAGAGAGCAAACATGCTCTGTGAAATCATTCCCGGTCTATACAAAAGTAGCAGATATGTCATCCATATATACAGTGTATATATACAGTACAGCACAAATACCAGGTTATCAGTTTTCAAGTGTAGAGAAGGAATACAGATCATGTTCCCCGACACGCTGTGACATGGGCTGTGTCAAAAACATGGTCATGGTCAAAAATGTTGTATAAAGGTACCAAGGTACAAGTGTAAGCTGATCCATACAAGAGTGTAGGCTGACAGAACTGTTTAGGTATACATGACCTCTGGGAAAATGAAACAGAAGCCTTCTCAAAATGCTATGTAACGTGTTTTTCTTTTTACTGTGCAATTTGTCTTAACCGAGAATGTGGCTGAATCAGACCAGAGACGGGGATGTGTTTTGTGTTTTTAAAATAAATAAAAATGTAAATACATTGGAGCATTGCCTGAAGAGAAGATTCCAGTAATATTGTGGTGGCACTTTGAAGATGAATTTACAAAGAGCAAGTTGTCTATGGAGTTTATTGCAATATGCTGTCCTTACATGTTCATACATACAAGACAATGTTTTGTCTGTAGAGAAAAGACAAGGTCTTATACAGTATTCTGAGCAGGGTTTGAGTTATAATCTGAGCTTCGTGGGGGTCTCTAATATACTAACTAACGGATCATTGCTTATTACGTGATTCAACATTTTCCTGTCTCACACACACACAAACGCACAAACACACACCCAGCAGTCCACTACTTGCCCCGGATGTCTGCAATATTGTAACAAAGTTTAAGTTTCAATAGCCTGCCAAATGCCATCAAAGACTATTTATATATTAAATATTGCTCAAGGAGAGATGGCAATTCTGACCTTCATGGTAGTTATAATATTAAAGTGTTATTTTAAGCACTGCTGTCCGCCAACACACAGTAACAAGCATATTATCATATGTAGCGCTGTACTAATTGGAGGATGCATCAAAAAGCCAACAATACTAAACAAATAAGCAGCAGTCAATACAGAGTCTAATACAGTACAATACAACTGAGTTCATGTTGGCGGGGCATGGTCTCAACCTGTTCGGTCAAAACTTGTGCACAATAATGGCTGATGGTGGAGAAGTGCGCAGCCATCCTGTCAGTCATGCGGTGCACAGCTAGTTCATAAGGAAAGTGTGTTAATTTAACATTTTTAATGTAGATTATAATATATATATATATACATATATACACACACACACACACATATATATATATACTATCATAAAATGCCTAAAATATCATTGCCAAAATGGACACAGTGGAGCACATTGATATTGTACGCTGTTGCCCACACTACAAGCAGTAGAACCAAAGTCTTGAAATTCATTAGGAAAACAGTGCACGTTTGTTAGTCAAGATGTGACACAAAGCTATTTTTAGTTATTCTTTTTATCATTTTGTGGCTTTGGATGCTGTTTTGACCATGACCGTTTTGGTATAGGTTCACTCTCATCAATTACAGACCATCTGATGTGTGCAGTTTAGTGATGTACTGACGTTTTTTTTTTTAATTTAGCATACTACACAACAGAGCAAATGCTCGACAAAAATAAAGCACAACCTCCTGGACTGAAATGAGTGGCGAGCTTCCCGTGCAAAGCTAACATTTCTCTGAGAACTACTCTGTTTATCTCATTTACAGGCTTGTCAGGCTCATAACATTAACCAATGAGCTTTTTGTTACTGACCAAAAAAACATTTTGCTTCTCTCTGTGTACAATATACAGCAACAATTGTACTTCTAATGTGAATATAAAGTGCATGCACCTTTTGAGATAGGAGTCAGAATTAGTGATTTTCTTTTCTTTGCAGAAAGTGTTTTAAACGCACACATCCACTTTCCTTTCACAATATGGGACAATGTTGACTGTACATGAAAAGTTTACTTTCCTGCATGTAGTCAGTTATTAGTGCATGTGACCAGGTGTAAAAACCAAATCCAACAGGCCTGTATTTTCACATTGCTTTTTTGTAAGCAGGACACACTATGAACCTTGAGCTGCACTTTGTGGGATTAAGAGTCACTCTCTTTCAGATAGTTTATAGTAATAGCTGAGGTCTAGACTCCAGAGAAACATGGTCAGATGGTAAGTCTACAGTGCACAACGGCTAGGGTCAACAGATTAACCCATGCCTGTGTTCCCGACTCCCCACTCGCTGCTCTATTATTGCTCTGTACCTAGCCTGGATTGGAGAGGAGGGAAGCTGCAGAACAAAGCACACAGAGTGGGCATAGAAGAGAGGAGGCAGGCCAGCAGAGAGAGCAAAGCCCTTTGGGTAATTAGCCTGGATTGAGGCCAAAAGGTGGAGAAAAGGGAGGGAGGTAGAAGGGACAAAAACCACTGCTGATTATATCCAGCTTATGATCTATTTAATTGTGGAACTGGAGGAAAGTGTAAATACGAATGCAGTGTGACGCCTGCATTAACAACATACTATACATATGTTAACGTTCCATAAGAATTTCTATTAAAACCATACATTAAACCTAAGACAGAACGATGGGTCAGGACGACATTGTTCAATTGTGCCTTCCGAAATTGTCACTGTTTGAATGTCAGTGTCTCGTTTCATTTTTGAGTTAAGGTTTAGGCACAAGAAATTGGTTAGGGTAAAGGAAAGGTTTGGGTTAAAATTACTTCTTTAGTCTCATGTTTTGTTTACTTTGTGGCGCACCATGTCACACTACTTTCTCCTCTGTTGCCGATGTACAGGAGTTACTTCCTACTGGATACAGGAGATGTCATTTTTGGCCACTTGCTGAATACACCGCTGTTTGCATTTTTTGTGGGAGGACAGTCTCACAGTTACACATCAGTGAATATAAGCTGACACAACATTCATTGGAACATTTCTTTTTTTTTGCGAGGATGGGAGGAGCAGACATGAGGTTGATGTTGAAAACATCAGTTGATTGTGGTGGGGGGTAACATGACCCACTCAGTGTGGGCATCGTGCCTCCAAATTAGTTTATCAGCTTCAGTGGCCTGACTAGCCTGCCAATCTACTCCAACAGCCGCTCCTTACCCGGACGACTGGGCACTCACCTGGCCAAGCAATGAGTGGTGTTTATACACAAACACACAAAAACACAC